GATGTCTGTCAAAATGAGTTGAATCCCCTTCATTTGGAGAGGCTTTTCTGAAGACAGCCGAAGACGTTCCAAACGCCAAAGTCGAAGATATACGCCCTGGGTTCGTAGTCTCACTGCTGTGTAAAATGAAAAGTACTTCGATTTCATTTAGTAATAAGAAAAACGGCCATGTTTAATTTGTCTCCAACAGCAGCTAAATGATATTTCTCTGAGATTGTCTCTGTGATGCCTTTAGACCAAAAATAATTAGTAAGTTCAACGTGGAACTTTGGCCTTTGGTTTGATCAGGAAGTTAATGAACAGTACAAGTAAATTCATGTTAAAGAGTGAGAAACCCCTAAATCCACTTTGTTTTGCTGATTAACTGTATAGATGTGTCTAATAGTCCCATAAACATTTGTAGTTGTTATAATGGCATTTTACTGCATCTTATTTAATTACTAATTCAGCCAAAAATCATCATTACTTCTCCATCTTCAGGTTAAAACTGCCATACACTGATTTTGAATCAGTCACAGCTGATGACTAAGAGGTGCCAAGTGATGGCGGTCCTGTTTTACACGGCTCCACTAGACTCCAGCCGAGTCTCGGCCGCACCTCCAGCTGACTCCATAAGCCTCCTTCAAAAACGTCCCCCTTCCCTTCTTCTAATGATGATACTTATTTACAAATTGTGCCCAATAAATCACTAATTCTTTCAAAAACTAAATCTCAGATGTGCCATCCCATTTTGAGAGAGAGGAGATAAAGAGATTGATGTATAATATCTGCAGGGTACGTACCGATACCAATATTTTCCTATTATACATTTTAATGCCAATAGCCGATACCAGTGTAGACCAATAACATCGGACATCACTAAAAATAAAAATAATGAAAGGTGTGATTCTCTTGCATTTGTCTGAAAACCTTTGCCAATAACATGTTTTTGACTGAAGGCGACCACTGGACTATCCGGTTGTCTGTCTCTCCAAACCACTGGGTCCTCCACTCATAACTCACTTGTGTGTTTAGCAACAGAACACCACTGATGTGAGAGGTTCTCCGCTCAATAATATCAGAGAATATTATAATAATAACAGCCGGCTGCTACAACTTCAACTTTAGTACAAACTGTCAGAGTCCCAAAAACAAAAACACCTTTTGAAATCACAGACAACAAAAGACATTTGGACCTAGGAAACGACTGGTGTTTAGCACATTCTCGTTTCCTCTGGCAATGCAGGCCCTGGTGTTGGGTGGGTGTGTCCAAAGGATGATAGCTGACGGTAGGGGTAAGTGTTCTTGTTTAGCAGATTTGCCCTTGTAGCTTTAACCAACTTAAAAAACAAAGCTGTGGTGCAGAAGTACACAGAGTGCTTTTGAATGGTCTCATGTGCAAAATTAGCCATTACTGTGTTTTGTTTTCTACGAGTGTTTAAAAACTCTAGAAGTGAAGGAGGGATGATATCAGAGTTTTTATGTCTAAAATTCAACTAAGTTCACAGAAACATGTCAGGTTAATGGAGGTCGAACCCCCCCCCCCCCCAACCAGGGGCAGTAAATTTACCGTAGACCCTACTCATTTATACACGAGAATACTGAGATTTTCCACACGTTTCTATTCACAACAGTTTGTGTTGCTTGACCCAGACGTGCAGAACCCGTTATGTAGCTGTTCCTTTACATCTTTGGAAGGCAACTTCGATGTGAAGTCTGGTTTTCAGACGACTACGGTCCCTTCCCCTTTTCAAAATCCTTTTTCTTTTCCTGGGACAAGAAGAACGATCCTGTTCCTCAACTTTGGATGTGGAACGTGTGCAACCCTCCGCTGTTTGTTGTTCAAACTAACCGAGTACAGCAACAGCGTATCTGTCGGTTGGTTTGGCAGACGGCGTGCTTTCAGGGCGTACGACTGCTCTCCGCTGTTTTGCCTTATTTGCAAAACTGTTGCACTAATAACAGCAATAGATGCACAACATTTTGGAACCTAATCAGTTTTTGAACTCTGAATTTAATCAACACTTGAGTCTTTATTTTGTGCATTGCTCAGTATTAATGTCAAGCATTTGACCAAAGTTAATGAAACAAACCAATAAAGTGATCACGTGTTAAATAAAAACAGGTGAATAAAAACAATAGTGCTTTAAAGATGTCCGTCACTGAGAAACCATGTTTAATGATTATGTCTGATTATTATCAATCACTCTGCGTGTTTCATGCAGGCTGAACATGAAAATAGTCTCCTACACCTATCTCCTGCATTAGCTACTGATAGAAAACAGACGGTGAAACTCTAAGATTAGAAAATCCTTATAGATCTACGTCACACTGTCACTGAACACTCATGGGCTCACCCATCTAAACCCTTTTTACAAGACACACCATGCCGGTAAATCGGCGTAATATTACCGCAATGGTATGTCTATAAACGCGCCATGCCGGCATGGCGTTGCGCGAATTTTGCGATATTCGTTCCGCCTCGCTTGGTAGTAATATTGCGGTAATGGTCTGTCGTATGCGCCCTGGCGCAACAGAGGCAGATGTCATGATGACATGGGGAGTTATTGCTGAGCTCCGGCTGGCAAATTTATTGAAAATGAAAGTAAACACAAGCAATAAGGTTTGCTTTTTGAACAAAATCAGCTGAGATGGCAAACTGGAGCGCCACAGCGCTCCATGAGCCTCTCTGTTAGAGCTGAAGCTCAGATCAAAAGAGACTGCACAGGGACTGATGGGGACAGACACCTTTAGGAGCTGCTTGTTAAAAAAAACTTAACGATCACGGCTTCAATCGCCATAAAAAGCAAGTTATGTCCAAGATAAACGGAAGTCTGCGGCAGCGCAGAGACCGCCCCCATACCCCCTTTATGCCGCCATCACCTAATCTTTTATAAAATTGCCACGATTGCGCCACATTACCGCCATAGTCTGATCTTATAAACCACCTTCATCCTCCCCAGGGAGCCGTGGCAAATCCCGTTTTGCAAACGCTCTGGTCCTGTAAAAACTGCTTCTAGACTCACGACGGGGAAGACTGTTGTTGGTTTTGAGTCCAGGAAAGAGCAGAGAATGTCTCGACTAGTAGAAGCTAACCGTTAGCATTAGCAACTCCACCACACAGCAGAACTCCTCCAGGCTTGTTATTTTGGAGATAAAACATCAGCGTTGCAGAGCAGACAGAGTCAGTGGTAGAGTTGTGTTGCTGTTAGCAAAATTTGGAACGGTGTTTTAATAATAACAATTATTGTGAAAGTTGAAATATCTAATTAAATTGTAAACATCCTGGCTCTTTTCAGTCTCACGGATTTAACTTACATCTGCAGAAATATAACACCTTAAGACAGCTAGAGGGCACCACACGATCAGAATTAGCATCATTTAGTCCAGGTCAGGTGGCCAGTTTGCTTCCCATCCCTCCATTAAAGGTGTGAGACAGGAAGGTGTGTGTGTGTGTGTGTGTGTGTGTGTGTGTGTGTGTGTGTGTGTGTGTGTGTGTGTTAGAGCATGAGAAACCATGTGTTCATGATACTTTTGTAACGACCTGTGAAGTTGTAGCAGAGCAATTACTGGACTGGTAATCCTGAACTGGAATCTGCAGACCATCTCATTTCACCGTGCGCACACACACACACACACACACACACACACACACACACACACACACACACACACACACACACACACACACACACACACACACACACACACACACACACACACACACACACAGTGCATGTCGGAAGTGGCAGGACCCAAAAAGCACTGAGAAGTGTAATTACAGAGGAGTATATCCACCCTCCCCCCTTCTGTCTGCTCCTGCTCCTCCTCTCGTCTCCCTCCGTCCGGTTGCCTGCTGCTCTGGAAACACGTTAAAATGCTCTTTGTGGCTTAATTAGCAGGCTGCACAACAAGCCGTGCATTCTTGGCCTGGCTTCACACACACACACACACACACACACACACACACACACACACACACACACACACACACACACACACACACACACACACACACACACACACACACACACACACTTCAGCATCTTGGACGTACAGATCTGATTCTTCCTACTTTTCCTTCAACTTTTACTTTATTTCTCATCACTTGTTATTTTGATTCATCAGCCTTATAGATCAGGCATTTGTGTGTGTGTGTGTGTGTGTGTGTGTGTGTGTGTGTGTGTGTGTGTGTGTGTGTGTGTTCTTTCTGAGCAGCAGGTAGGATGATTACGTCTCAGTCATAAAAGGCATTCAGGGACCACCCACCTGACTTGTACATGTGCACATGCTCGAGTGTGACGATCTGCCGTGTTTTTCAGAACCTTCTGTGTTCTGACCCGAAGCAGCAGTCCCGCGAGTCCACGTCTTTTTTCTCTTTGTGTTTTGGCCTGATGTGTTGTTTCTCGGTCCTCCTCGGTGTTCTTCTGCACTGTGGGAAGTCTGCGTTCTTTTTTTAATTATGAGGTGTGAAAGCCTGAAAACCAAAGAGTGCGAATGCTAACACACACACACACACACACACACACACACACACACACACACACACACACACACACACACACACACACACACACGAATGCATCTGTGAACCATTAAATATACAGCTACAATTATTGCTATATGTGACTCACACGTACACAGATGCTGGATTTTTTTAGGTGTTTTGAACGTCCCCGTGGTGAACACTTGATGGCACTGGTAGTTCACAGATGGCTCCGGTGCCGGGCGTTCTCATGCACACTTGCTCCTGTTTCTCAAGGAGCAACAGGCTGAGCGTTGAAGTTATTGCTGCTGGCCTCGGGCGAAGAAGTCAGCTTCTGTCGTGTTCCTGACAAAAAGCTGTTCATTTACAGCCTCTCGTTTCTTTTCATTTCCCTTTTTTAGGAATCGCAGCAGCCATGTGGTTAAACACGTCAGTTAGTTTCTTATGAAGGCGTGTTGGACAGAGGCGCTGGGAAACCTGCAGCCTGTTGGCAGGAAGAACACATTGTTGACTCATCCGACTGTTTCTCTCCCAGACACAGATCCACGGGTTCTGGAGAAGCAGGAGCAACAGCAGCCCACTTACCTGGCCCTCAGCTACATCAACAGGTACACACACACACACACACACACACACACACACACACACACACACACACACACACACACACACACACACACACACACACACACACACACACACACACACACACACACACACAGAGGAACTGCAGAGGGCAGCATCGTACCAGCCGGTAGGGTCTGTAATCATGTGACTGGTGGGGAGAATGGTGAATGACTGATGAGTTCTGAAAGACCGAGCAGCAATGACTCATCCACAAACAAGCACACAAAACCACATGAGATAATCACTCCAGCGGCCGGGGGCAACGTCTTAGGATTCCTGTGTGTGTGTGTGTGTGTGTGTGTGTGTGTGTGTGTGTGTGTGTGTGTGTGTGTGTGTGTGTGTGTGTGCCACATCCCACTAAATGCTCCATCCCATCAAATCACTACAAGATGCATCAGTGAAGGAGACGATGTTGGAAGGAAGCGGCAGAGTGAGTGAGGGTTGGTTTTCAGTAATAATTCCAGCAGCGGCGAGGTTATAAATGTCATGTTTTGGTTCAGGACCGTTTATTCATCATCACACCACAAGCAGCCGACGGAGCAGGACGCATTTATTCCTGGAGTAAACCCTTCGTGATTGGCTGAGGAGAGATGGACATGAAAACTGAATCAGGAGAATTATGAACGTTCTAATTATCCCACAACAGGAACATTAATAAAATCAGATAGCTCAAATTGTCACGAAGCATTAAACTAATGATAAGGAAATGTTGATATTTGCTTCATGAACAGCTGAGTATGAAGAAAAAACATGTGGTGCTATTTAGCATGGCAGGGTTATTAAGCCTAAAATCACTTCCCTGGAGGACCTGGAGGTGCTTCATGTAGCTGCTGCTGACGTTTAGCATGAATTTAAACACGTAATATGAGGCACGTTGGGATTAATAAAGCAATGAAAGTGGTGGGTCTGTTTTAGGACTAGCTGTTAGCTCATCAGTCCTGTCAGATTATAGCTGTTTCTCCAAGCAGAGGCTGTTCAGGGTAAGATCTTCGAAGACTCGGGGATGTCCACCAGAGCCTTTTAAACGTGAACATGGTGTAAATGAAACCTCAGCCGTCTGCGAGGCTGTTATAGTTCACGGGCGCGATTCCACCAGACGCAGCGTGTACAGCCCCAGAGGCGTAGGGACGCACCGCTCTGCTGAAGTCATGCTACTCCTCCAGAACACGTCAGCCTTTGAACTTCAGAACAGGCCAGACAGGAAGTCAGAGGTGCGGTGTGAGACTTCTGGCAGATTTCAAAATAAAAGACACGTGCAGATTTCCTGTTGCCCCAATTAAAGCTGGGAAAGCTCTGGGCTCTTGCTGCCCTCCTTCCCTGGTGAAGTCACGTGTGATCTAGCTAATCTGGGATTTGGTGATCTCGTGGGACTGGCCCAGGTTACAAATCAAACTTTGACCTGTGAAGCGTGCCGGTGTATCTGTAGTGTTAGATTCCAGAGTTGGATATTATGATATGATAGCCTGCCTGTGTCAGAACCCACAGCATCAGGGAGGGGGCGCTGCTGAGTAACAGCCTCTGTCCCATCAGGTTCATGACGGACGCAGCGCGCCGCGAGCAGGAAACCGTGAAGAAGAAGGCCACACCCAAGCTGTCCCTGTCCATCACCGGTGGACTGTCCAGGAATACCACGGCCACGCCCCCCCGCCACACCAGCGGTAACCTGACGCCTCCCGTCACGCCTCCCATCACCCCTTCCTCCTCATTCCGCAGCAGCACGCCTACAGGTACGACAGGTGTGGCGCTGAGCCCTGTGTTTGGGTGTGTGTGTGTGTGTGGAGTGGAGAGAGACCGCTGCAAATGAGCCTGTTTGACAGTCAGGATCACACCAGCGGGAATGTTCTCTGGAGAGTGGAGGGAATGCTTTAACACAAATGGAATATGGCCTGTTTCTATACCTGCAGTAGGCGGAGCCTGTAGCAAGAGATGGTTCATAAATGAAGCAAATGCAATTCAATTCAATTCAATTCAAGTTTATTTATATAGCGCCAAATCACAACAAGAGTCGTCTCAAGGCACTTCACATAGTAAACATTCCAATTCACAGTTCATTAAGCCAATCAGAAATAATGTTTCCTATATAAGGAACCCAGCAAATTGCATCAGTGTCAGTGACTATACAGCAATCCTCATACTAAGCAAGCATGCAGCGACAGTGGAGAGAAAAACTCTCTTTTAACTGGAAGAAACCTCCAGAGGATCCTGGCTCAGTATAAGCAGCCATCCACCCTGACTCACTGGGGATCGAGAAGACAGGGCGGGCGGGCGGGCGGGCAGACACACACACACACACACACACACACACACACACACACACACACACACACACACACACACACACACACACACACACACACACACACACACACAAATAATGTGTCTATAGTTCTATTGTGATGTATTAGTAAATATTCTGTTTGGTGAGATCAACTTTATTGTATTTATCCTAGTGGATCTATAATTAAATGGGTAAACTAGTAGTAGCACGTCCACCGTCAAGGAAAGCAAAAAGTTATTATCAGGAGTGGGAGAATGTTTTAGTGGGTAGCAGCAGTGTGCTAGACGATGGCCCCCTCCATGAGGCCACCACAGCTCAGCAGAACATCATTGTTGCTTCTTCTGGGGAGAAAAACACTTAGAGAGAAAATAAAGTTAACAGCTGAAATTGCACAAAATAGTACAGTTAAAGAGCAGATAGTAGAAGAAAGCAGTAGTGTGTGGAAAGTGGTCAGTGTGTCCTCCAGCAGTCTAAGCCTATAGCAGCATAACTACAGAGAAAACTCTGGATAATCTATCCTATTTAGATGGAGGCATGTTGGAGGCAGGGCAAGGGAGAGCCGTCTTTACCGACTGTACACTCCACCTCCCTCTACTCCCCCACTTGTCCTGATCTAGGCTAACATCAGATTTTAACCATAGGCCCTATCAAATAAAAATGTTTTAAGTCTATTCTTAAATGTAGACAAGGTGTCTGCCTCACGGACTAAAGCTGGGAGCTAGTTCCACAAGAGAGGAGCCTGATAACTAAAAGATCTGCCTCCCATCCTATTTTTAGATATTCTGGGAACCACCAGTAGACCTGCAGTCTGAGAGCAAAGTGCTCGGTTAGGAACATATGGAACAATCAGATCACTGATGTATGAAGGAGCTTGATTATTAAGAGCTTTATATGTGAGAAGGAGGATCTTAAAATCTATTCTGAATTTAACAGGTAGCCAATGTAGGGAAGCTAAGACAGGAGAGATATGATCTCTCTTTGTAATTCTCATCAGAACTCTAGCTGCAGCATTTTGGACAAGCTGAAGACTTTTAACTACATTCTGTGGACTTCCTGAGAGTAATGAATTACAGTAATCCAGTCTTGATGTAATAAATGCATGAACTAGTTTTTCAGCATCACTCCTGGAAAGGATGCTTCTAATCTTAGCAACATTCCGAAGGTGGAAAAAGGAAATCCTACAAACCTGTTTAACCTGAGAATTGAATGACATGTCCTGATCAAAGATAACACCAAGGTTCCTTACTTTGTTCTCGGAGATTAATGTAATGCCATTCAGGTCAAATTCCATTTGGCTTTCCTTAAAATAAAAAAAAGGGAAATCTGTCAGGGTGGAAAGGTGTGTGTGTGTGCGTGTGTGTGCGTGCGCGTGTGTGTTCGATGACTCCTGCAGTGAGCAAACCAGTCAACACTTTGCTAATTACATAGCAGCTGCCAGGCTGTGTGTTTGCATGGGTCGAGTGTTGCACAGCTCAGAAGCAGATGTCAATTTCAGCCCAAATGGGTTAGGTCTGGGCTGAGACACACACACACACACACACACACACACACCCTCTTTCAACATGTGCCAGGGTGCCATCAACTTCCTCATGCTGAGGTGCAGCATTTCCTGCTAGAAGGTGGGGGGTCAGTGTGTTAGCCTGAACCTCAGTCATGTGGTCTGGCCATGCAGCCCAAGTGTGTGTGTGTGTGGAAAGTATTCTGCTCTTTTTTCCGGGCTGTGCAATAGCGATCACTCCCACTTAATTATCCCCTTCTGAGTGCCAATCCCTGAGTTTTGGCTTGCAGGGACTCACGAGAACACCATCTTTGTTTTATCTGCCCTCAGTGGCATGTGGCCTACTTCTGCACCCAGCACAGAGAAAAGCATTAACACAGAGTGGCGTATCATCTCTGTGTGGCTAATTTCAGTGGCAAGATGTTCCCTCAGCGACGACCCCACCGATTTATCATCCGACATGACAAATGTTGTGTTTGTTGTGCATGGCTCCAACGGGCCTCTAGGCAGCGAGTATGATGAGGAGGAGGTAGACTACGAGGAGTCGGACAGCGATGAGTCGTGGACCACAGAAAGCGCCATCAGCTCCGAGTCCATCCTGAGCTCCATGTGCATGAACGGGGGAGAGGAGAAGCCCTTCGCCTGCCCCGTCCCCGGGTGCAAGAAGAGATACAAGGTGAGGTTAGAGCCGAAGCTGCATGAGGCTCCAGCTGGGATTCCACCCACACTGGAGCTTTTTGTCCCCGTATCACATGTCCGGGCCTAACGTTTCAGCATAAATCCTCTCTGATTGGAAGTGCATTTGCTTTGGTTGATGTTCATCTCAGCCTGTAACAAGAGCCTCCTTCAGCCTGCTGTCCTGGCCCTCTAACTACAGGACAAAAGTGGAACATCACTCCTTAATGCTCTTTCAGGGACAACTGGGGAAGTTAGATCCATTTATATTAGATGAGAAAGTCAAGGCCTTGTAAACCACCGAGAGCTGCCTCTAGATGGCACCAGAGGGGTTAACACGGTGGAACTGAGGCCCATTTTATTCTTCTATCCTTTCACTGACCACGACGTCTACTGCACACATGTCTGTGTCCTTAATGTCGTTTCTTTTAGAAACCCAGTTTTGTGTTTTCATTTGTTTTTCTAATTCCTGCAGGTTGTGATAACAGCCGTTGTACATATTTCCTGTTCTCCAAGTGTATGTGCTGCCGTAGCGAGTGAGTTTCCTGACTGTGGGATTAATTAAGACATGGGCCATAGTGTGTTTCTGTGTTTTTACTGTCCCGTTTACTGAACAGCCTCTGTTTGGAGAAACAGAGATTCTATCCAACAGGACTGAGGAGCTAACAGCTAGTTTGAATGTGTTGCAAAGGTGTGTTTCTAATCTATTAAAGGACCTTCAGGGTAAATTCTGGGAGGGGAAATTGAGTGGGATATAAGATTTTACCGTCGTCTCGGGACAATGATCAGACCCGTTTCAGCAGTGATGTCACCAAAAAGTGTCCACAGCAACATTAATAGTTTAATTCTGTCAAAGTACAGCTATTGAGTCCATTCGGTGGACCGGGAGAGCTGCTGTGTGATGTAAAATGTGGCGTTCAGTGACCAGATGAAGCATCATTTCTTACGGTGCTTTGTGAGACAACAGAGCCCGTGAATTACGTTGTGGGGGGATTTAGACGACGCCCACTGATGTCATTTTCTACTGATTCTCAACCAATCAGCATGAGTTAACCAAAGGCTCAGCCCAGCTACTCAGCCGGGCCTTTCTCAGTACCTACCCGTTCGGGTACGTTGTTGGTTCCTGAAAACGGCTAACTCAGCCGACCCGGTGAAGACGAGACACATACATGCTGGGAAGTTCTGGCAAAAACCCAACAGTGGAAACGCGTCCATCAAAAACGCCCACTCCAGATTATATCAGGATCTAATGGTGGCACAGTTGGCTCGCAGAGACAAGGTTGCAGGTTTGAATCCCCTGTGCAGCCTTTCTGCGTGGAGTTAGCACGTTAGCAGCACGTTCTCCAGTTTCCTCCATCAGACCAGAAACGTGCATCTCTAAAGCTGTAACTGGCTTTGGGTCAGAGCTGAATAAAACGTGAACACACACACCAGTAAACACACCTTCTAGTGGTTTATAAATAACCGACTTACACCACTGACGCAACCATAACCCCAGTCTGCTGTAGAATTTCACTAAGTGACACCACAGAATTAGGTTTTAGTGTGCTCCGTCTAGCGGTTAGCTCATCAGTCTTTTAGAGTGTAAACAATATTTCTCCTAATTCTGTCATTCTTTTGATCTCATCAGAACGTGAACGGTATCAAATACCATGCCAAGAACGGCCACCGCACGCAGATCCGTGTGAGGAAACCCTTCAAGTGTCGATGTGGCAAAAGCTACAAGACCTCACAGGGCCTGAGACACCACACCATCAACTTCCACCCCCCCATCTCCACCGAGATCCTCCGCAAGATCCAAGGCTAGAGCCGGAGGTGCCCCTGACACGGCCCGGTCCCCACCCGCCCCTCACACTAACGCATCAAGTGCATGCTTTAAGTTCTTTTGTTTGTGTTTTATTTGTCCTGCATTATTTTTATTACTATTATTTTCTATCCATATCACTTGTATTTCTGAGAAAAAAAAAGTATCTTTGTAGTATTTTATTGACGTACCTTTGCACATTTGTTTATGCTATCATTTATTTTCCTCTATGGTTTAACTGACATAAGGTGCTAACGGTAAAAAACAGACAGAAAAGACAAAAAAACAAAGAGAAATGTAAGAAGTGAAACAGGAAGTGATTTTTCTTTGACCTGCTGGTCTGGGAGCAGGGTGGAGCCCACGGAGGCTCCCGGTCCGCTCCAGGCAGCGAGCTGAGGTCTGTGCCTTCACCCAGAATTAAGTTAATAAATATATTAGTATATAAAACAATAGATATGTATGTGTACATAAAATATAAAGTATTCATGAGCTTATTCATAAATAGTTGCTTTATTTTATACATATAAATATATATTCAGTGTCTAGGTGTAGTATTTTGTTTTTGTCCAGTCTGACGGGCAAACAGCTGGTTTGTTGTTTTCTCACACTTCACATTAGGAGGTGATGTCATTTACTGTTGGACACACACGCGCGTGTGTGTGTGTGTGTGCGTGTTATCGTACTGTTGATCAACAAAGCCGTGCCAGATTTCACCAAACTAAGCTTCATGATGTATTCCAGTTGCCAAGATCTTTGTTTTTATTCCATGATGGTTGCCAACAGCTCTCCACTGCCAAACACTGATCATGTGCCTGATGGGGGCTGGGGCTTTCCTAGAGACGGGGTTGTTCTCCCCACGCCTCTGGATGTAGGCCAGCAGAATGTCTTCATGCATGTTTTCTGAACAGGAGGTTGTTTTTGTATTGAAGAGATCTACGACTTGTCTTCTCTCTCTGTGTGTGTGTGTGTGTGTGTGTGTGTGTGTGTGTGTGTGTGTGTGCGCGCGCATGTGTGTGTGTGTGTGTGTGTACAGCAGCTTTCCACTTTGTTGTGTGTTTTCAGCAGTATCTTCATCAGCCTAGAGTATTGGTGTGTGTTCAGGGTTTCTGATGTTATGATGTGTTGGCCATCATAGGAGCTGCAGCTGCAGCTAATCCCTCTAATCTAGACTTTATAATCCACTCAAGGCTCCCAGCCATTGCTCCTTTTGTCTGACGGTGAATATGCTGACAGGCGCACACCCTCCGCTGCTTCTGTGTCTGGCTGGTGCTGCAAACGGAGCTAAAGCATCAGAGGAGGAGAGGAGCGGAGGCTGTGCGCTCCGGGGGGGGGGGGGGGGGGGGGGGGGGGGTCCATATCCCATGTACAGTGAATGTATCGTAACGTGTCGTTAAGTGCTTTTAAATTATATTTTCGTATGTAACGTTTGTTTTTTGTACGAGGGTTAAAGTTGTTGCTGATGTTAAACTGTTTCTATACAAAAGATGAGCTGCTGCTTAAATGTAAACAGGAAATGACTGAAAAAAACAGCAAAATAAAGTAAAAAGTTCTGTAGCGCAAACCGACTCGGTTCTGTTTGACCCGATCAGCCCAAGATGAAGAACCAGGCAACGACATTGATTTTAACGAGCTGGATTTATTCATAAAGATCTCTGCGAGACGTTTACACGTCTGACATTCTCACATGGGTGGGGGGGGGGTCTTAACGCTTAAATAAAGACGAAGCAGTCGAGACGGTCCAGAGGGGCCCACAGACCAAGCTACGAGTTCACAGTTCTACTTTTCTAATAAAAAAATACAGGTGTGTCAGAGTTGGTGTCCGTATCTGATGCACGGCCGTTCTGCCCAGACAGACAAAAAAGTGCACAACAGGAAGTGACCCGTCTTGATTCAAACACGAGGGCGGTAACGATGGGAGACAGGTCTACAACAGCGACTCACAGGTGTCTGCAGCACGTCTGTAGCGTACATTCAGGGTAAAGCCTTGTTCGGTGCAGCAGATGCATGGGAACATGGAGCCGACCCGACCGGCTACAGCTGCTTCACTTACATCCGTGTTTAAAGCTGCAGCTACAAGAAAACATCGTTTCACCCACATGCACTGGAAAAGGTGCTTAAAGATCAAAACAATGGTCACTCCTTCAAATAGCTCCACTCCGCGTCTCTTTCCTCCTCCTGCCAGCACTACCTCCCGTCTCCTTCAGATAAAAAAGGTGCCAGTGACTGTTCGTACCACGGAAACTAAACCGACGTCACAACTCAGGCCCTGTCCTTACTCCATCTGCTCAAAGTTCAGCACGTGGCCGTCGAAGTGCGTGAGGACGTGCCTCTCGAAGAGCTGCTGCTGACAGTTGAGAGGGAACTGCTCGGAGCAGACGGGGCACACCTTCCAGTGGCTCTCCACGTGCTGCTCGAAGCTGCGCTGCTCAAAGTGGGGAGGGAAGATGACCTCGCACAGCGGGCAGCGCTTGTGAATGTCGCTGCTGGAGGGAGAAAAGGGCAGAGGAGAAGATCCAGTCAGGCTCTACCGGGCCCATCCCCCACCCTCTACCTTGTGTTTCACCCAGCACGTCCTCGTGTCTGTGAGAGCTACCTGGAGTCAAAACAGAAACTTCTCCGGGCGTCGCCGCACCCGCTGGACTGATGATCACACGACGGTCGGGCTCCATCACTCACCTTCAACACAAACACAAGAGATACTTGCTGTTATTTACAAACACGGAGCCAAAAGTAGGAAAGTGACATTAACTCGTTTTATGCACATGAGTTCAATGCGCTGTTCTTTAAGGCCACGCAGTGTTTGCCTCCAGTCAGCGCGGGAGGGGGGGGGGGGGGGGTATCATGAGCAAAAACACCATCAGCTGTTGAAGTTAAGCCAGGCGGGCACTGTGCGACTTTTTCACTCGTAGCACTCAGCTTCAGCTCACACTGCACGACCCAGTTCTCGTATGCGACCTGACTGCTCACACTGTACGTCTGGTAGCAACACGTCGGCCCTAAAAATATGCTAAAAATAGCCGTTTTTACTCAAACACGTCAGACTTTTTAGTCTTGTTTTTGCCTGTTGTCCTTCGGGAGTGCTGCAGGAGGACACACAGGGATTTATGGGGGTTGGATGAACGAAATAAAGAAAGTAAATCTGTGTTTTGTGATCAGTTTAATTTGACATGAACACGACAAACACGCTTTCTTGACAATCTTTGTGAGTAAAAAAACGTGCAGAAATTAAAACGAACAGCGTGTGTTATTAGGGAAATAGCGGGCGAGCGGTGTCGATGCAGGATTGCGCATGCGCCGTGAGCGGTTCTGATACTTTTTGGGTCGCAGCCGCTCGCAGTGCCGCTTCAACAGTGCGATACCCTCACGAGGGACGAGCAAAATATCAAACACGCCAGAAGTCCGTGCGAGCTCACGATTGCTGATCGGTAGCTGGTCACGTGGTGTTAATCGCCTCTCGTAACCCCCGTACACTACACGACGCTCGGCGCAAAACTCGCCCCGATCTCGTGGATTCTCGCACGAGTGGAAAATCAGCTCAAAAAAGTGAAAAAGTCGCACAGTGTACGCCCGGCTTTAGGTGGAGCAGTAGGTGATGCTGCTACCTACTTTCTGGGCCTCTGGTGGATGCTCGATGTTCTCGGGGGGAGATGAGCTGCGGGCCGGCTGGATGCAGACCACCTCCCGGGCCCAGCCCGGTGCTCCTGGACCGGGGCTGGGTGGTGACAGCGGGGGTGCACAGGGAAGGGTGCAAGGCGAAGCCTCGGATGAAGGGTGGGAAATCTGATCTGGAGACAGCGTGACATCGACACGATCTGCAAACGGAGTGATCGTTACTGAACAGATGGGAGCAGAGGGACAGGGAGAAGACACAGGGGACGGAGGTTTACCTCTGGGCGCCTCGGTGGAGTAAGGGTTCCCATACTGCAGCTCGGCCGGCCTCTGGGGCACGAGAGGAGGTGGGGAGGGATTCTGGGGGTAGGGCAGGGGGGTAGCGCAGCAACATGGGCTGTCTGACCTCGGCACCGTGTGCCTCCATCTCCCTCTGCCGGAACAGGAAACGCTGCAGCTCCTGGAGGAACACAGCATCCATCCCTCAGAGGCAGAGCTACACGTTAGCCACATCCTCACACTAAAACCCAACATTTAACCTGATTATCAGATGCATTCGGATATATCACTGAATGCTTAAAACACAGTCGTTATCAGCTCCATAAATGATTCAAGCCCAGAGCTCCATTGTTTCAATTTACAGCCGGGTTTCCCACAACGCAGTTTTTGCCCTTTGTGATTAAATCTGCGGCAGGATTATTAGTGCCCTACTCATTACTGTAATGGGTGTCTGCTGCTCCTCTCTCTCTCTCTCTCCTGTTTCTTTCTGTGCCTCCTTTCCCTCCTTTGCTCATTCCTCCCTGACCTCCTCTCTTGATGACTTCATTAGCGCGCAGCTATCAAGTTTAACATTTAAACCAGGGTTGGGAAGGTGAAACAGACACGTAGCGTGGCATTTGCACTGTCTAATGGTGCTGTAGCCGGGGGCGAAGGGCGAATACGGCTGTAGGAATCAGTGAGGGGAGGCAGAAGAGAGAGCAAAGGAAAAAGTTCAGGTGGAGACAAAGCTAACAGTGCTAGGTTGTTATTATTTTAGCTGTCGTGTCAAGTTTATGCACATAAAACCATTTCTTAACCATGTAGACGTTACGCCTTTACCGTGGACAGCTTATCGGCTCCCTCCATCTGTGGAGGACAGCAGCGATGTGTTTTTCAGGATGAACGGGACCGAGGAGAACCACGTGTCCGTTTACAACACTTAACACTAAAAAGGAGACGGCACGGACCCGAGGATCAGCAGCTACGGGGAGGATGTTCAAATGTATCATTAAAAAGTTACTTCAGAGCGTCCAGCGACACGAACCGAGGCTCCATATCTGACGCTCCGCCACAGGCCGCTGATGCTGCCGTCACACACACACGCACACGCACACGCACACACACACACACACACACACACACACACACACTCAACCTGGGTGCTACTCAGAGTTGGGAGTTTAGTTGTCAAAACGAGGTTCGATGCTTTTATGGTTTTTACACAACCCCAGGTAGAGCTTCTACATTTCTCCATAAACATGGAAGATGAGGTTCTCATCCTGAGATGAAACATGAGAACGGTGAAGCGCTGTTCTTCTTCACCTCCTCCAAATGAAAGCACATCTATAAAAATAATCCAGAGTAACGGGCTGGCTTACCTCCTGCAGCTGCTGCTTGTCCTTCAGAGCCTGGGCCAGGTGACGTTTCAGTTCAGTCACCTCACTGGTTCGCTCCGCCATCTGCACCTACGGACACAACACACCTGCACCGTTAGAGGGGTCCACTACCTTTTTATTTTTATTAAGACTAAACACAATAAAAAACATGAATAACAGGTTATCTGATCCCTCTGATCTGATCTGTGCTTTGAGTTCATGTGAGCAGGTCTACAGGTGAGCCTCCTGGAGCAGTGAAGTGTGTGTGGGGCCTACTGTAACACACACACACACACACACACACACGCGCACACACACAAAGCCCAAAGAAAGCAGGTCTGTGCATCGGGAGACGAGGCGGGTCAGAAGATGCTCATAAATCCTTCCCCTCTACCGGAGCCGACCCGGTGGGATGGTTTACATCAGTCGCTGCTCGCTCTTCTCTTCTTTCACCCCCCCATGTCTGTCCTGATTTCATCACTCTTAAATTCTGTCTGCTTCTCTCTCCCTCCTTCTCTTTCATCTCCTTTTTGTCTTCTCCCGGCCTCCCCTCACATGAATTTACAGCACCCCACCACACACACACACACACTCGTGTCTCCCCTGTGAACCCCTCTCTGATGTTAACAGTCATAAAGTACGTAGTCCTGCTTCAGCCTCGCCCCCTGGTCTCTGGGGCCACCGGGAACAGCGTCTGGGCCCCCCCGAAGCATTTGCCTCAGACAGGAGACTCTGTCAAAGCTGATGTAGAGACGTGTTTACAGCACAGATAAGCACACACACACTCACTCAGGGCTGCGGAGCAGGACGGGTGATGATGTTTTTGCCTGTTTTCAAAATGTCTGCTGAACCTGCTGGTGGAGGTGGCCTCAGACCAGGTGGAGTTTATCAACATGAATAAATGACATCACAGAAACTACTGATCTGACTCCGCCTTACTCTGAGTCGCTCCTCCTCGCCAGCCAGCTGCTGTTTAAGCGTCTCGTTGAAGGCGCACTGCTCCCTCCATTTCTCCTCCATCGTGGCCAGCTCTGCCTCCACCGAGCGCGTCTGCTCCGTTTCTGCCTCCTTGGTGCTCCTCCCCTCCCCCTCCAGAGTCATCTGCCTCTCCTCCTCCTCCACTCCGTCACTCACCCGCTCTGCTGTCTGCCTGGTTTCTGCCTCAGAGTTCTCCCCGGCGCTCAGCCTCTCCGTGCCCACCTCCACCCAGCTCGCCATCCTCAGGCTTTCCTCAGGGAGGTTCTCCTTCTCCTCCTTTTTCTTGGGTTTGGTTTCACTCCCAGCCTTTGAGCTGTCCTCCTGCCTTTCCTGCATCTCCGTGCTGGCGTAAGCATCGGCGGACGTGGGCAGCACAGAGGCGACGGCAGCTTCTGGGAGAACTGGAGTGGAAAAAAGCATGTTCTACCTGCTGGAAGCTGGAACTGACGAGGCTTTAAAAGCCTGGCGTACCTTTTCTAGGAGACTCTGGAACAGACGCGGGAGGCTCCTGCGTCGTCTCTGTGGAAACGTTCCTCTTTGAGTCCTGAGACAAAGATGGAGCACATCTAGTAACAGCTGGTGTGGTGTGTGTGTGTGTGTGTGTGTGTTTCAGTGCTCCGTACTCACTGCCTGTGAATCAGCAGTGTTGAGCTTGGCCACCTGCCTACGGAGCCGCTGACACTCCCGGTATTTCTCCTTATAATGCTCAGCAGCCATGTGGAGGCGCAGCTTCAGCTCCTCCACCTCCCTCTGCAGCTCGGCCTCGGCCTCTGACACCACCACCACGCTGGGTGCCACCTCCCCGCCTGTTGCAACTCCCTGAATCAAAAGTTAGTCAAAAATACACGGCAAAACAACCTAGCCAGCGCGGGGTTCAGAAGTTTGGGACACCGACCACCTCCTTGTGAGAGGTGCTCCTCATGCGGTCCAGCTGGCTCTCCATGCGCCGGCACTCAGCCTGAGCATCAGCCAGGCTGACGCGGAGCTCGTCGGCCTCCACGCGGGCGTGGTACAGCTCTGACATGGTGTGGTCGCGGGTGCTGGTGGAGTCACGCAGCTCTGAGGCCAGTAGGCAGGCCTGCTGCCGGGACGCCTGGAGCTGCTCCTCAGTCTGACGGAGCTGCTCGTGAACCCGACCCAGTTCCGCCTGAACAGGGTTGTGTTTATGAAGCCATGAAAGATAAAAAACACTCGTGTTTACATCAGGAGCAAGCAGCGGTACCTTGTCTGCTCTGTGCACCATCAGCTCCTTCTCCAGGCCGTCCCTCTGGGCCTTGCAGACTCTCAGCCTGTCCAGCTCCTCCTGGAACTGAGCGATGGTCACCTCCCTGTTCAGCTCCACCGCCTTCAGCATCTGCAGCTCCGCGCTCAGCTTGGTGTTCTCCAGCTCGGTGCTGCGCAGGTGAGCCTGACGGGAGCCAGGGCGGAGCAGCAGGGGTCAGACGGAGGTCGGAAACACTCAGCCAGCCTTCTGACGGTGTCTCACCTTGTACAGGTCTCGCTCATCCTTCTCGTTCTTCAGCTGGCTCTCCAGACCGTCTCGCTCTGCGGTCAGCTTCTTCAGGCGGTCACGAAGACTGGAGCGTTAAACACACACGTGTAACCAGCGTTACACCGTTTGGCAGCTCCTCTGAGTGTGTGTGTGTGTGCTAAAACTGGGTGTATTTTACTAGTGGAAGCCACAAAAGCAGTGTAACAGTGACTGAGAAGCACTCAGATCTCATCAGATCACATGACCTCTTCTGGTCCTACATAAATCCATCACGCCCCCCCCCCCCCCCCCCCCCCCCCCCCTCTCGTTTAAACTAATAGACAGCTGGCTAAACTAACACGTCGGAGGATGAACTCGTGAGTAAATGGACACAAAAGTCTGGTTTGATCCCACCTAACGAGACAGGTTGATGTTTAGCTCCGCTCACCAGTCCAGCTCCGTCTCCTTCTGCAGACCTCTCTGGGTGACCCCCAGCAGGTCCTCCTCCAGCTGCCGGATCCGGTCTTTGGCCTCGGTCAGCTTCCTTCGTATGTCTTCCCTCTCCTCAGACAGTCCCTGCGAGGATCGCAGCAGCTCCTGCAGAACAGAGGCAGCCAACCACAGCGGCTGAAGCAAAAGGCTGAACGTACGAGAAGCTCAGTCGATTCAGAACCAGCTCAGCCGAACCTGCTTCCAGCATCTGCAACATCACTATAACATTTTCCTTACGGTTGCTTCCCGTGAGGTTCCTCTCTGCTGTATCACATTTCTGCAGCAGCTGTATCATGTAAAGCTGCCCTCAGGCCGTTTGTAAAGCTTTATCTCGTCTCTCACAAATCACAGGGTACAAATTATGACTCATATGAGGATTGTGACAGCATCTAGTGTTCCTAAACTCCTGAGTTAACCCAGTGGCAGCCTGAGATGAGAGCACATCAGATCCTGTCAGATCTGACCCAGT